TTGTGGTGTCTGGCAACAGCTGCTGCCAGCAGCTGTGAGTTAGCAAAGTGTCCCCAAGTCCACATAGTTCAGCACTGTTCATCGTCAGTCATTTCTACCTGAGAGCTGCTGCATTACTGAGTTGGGAATCTCCCGTGACATGGTGTGATGTGGGGATAAACATTTTGGTCCAACTCCTGACCATTGGAAGAAGCTCCAATTGGCAAGCTAAAATATAAATGCCATGTGGCTGGTGCATGAGTCTTATCCAGAACTATCCCAAGATCCCTTTTGTGGATCTAAGCTGTCTTTGGGTGCCAGGGTCTGGGAGCCCAACTGTTACCTGTAAAGCGCTTTACACTAATGACAGGATTTGATAAGTGTATTCTGGTAACCAGTGGTCCTTTACATAGTTTTTTATGGAGGACCATGGTCTAAGTTCATTCCACAAATCAAGATGTGGAATCATGTCATGGCCTGTTCAGAATCCCACAATAATCCTTCCCTTCCTGAATATCACTTCCTATCAGTGATGTTTTAGAGCTCACTAGGCAATGTGAAGGTGTCTGGCTATGTGCCAATCAAGAATATAGAACAAAATACTAAGTTTCTGTATAGTTAGCACACCTATATATGTGCATGAGTATCTGACCCCACTTTTTTATTGGAGAAGGCCAGAAAATGGTAGAGCATGTTCTAGAGACAGATGTAGTCAGTGGATAGATAACACAGGGAAACAGGCTGTCAATTGCTGGTTGACATGCTCTGGGCCACACACAGACTTAAGCTATTTAACCAAGCAGATGCTTTTCTCAGAACCTCTTCCCTTTGGACACTGGACTGCGTTTTTGAAAAGAGTTAAATACCCTCAAGTATCTTTCTAAGTTGCTGTCCAAGCAATGGACATATTCTCCCATTATGTTGCTTCAACTGTTTAACTGAAATGGTCATCATGACTTCAGAGTGCTAGTCTGTCATAGTCAATGAAATCCTCCACTGAGTATCTGACCTCTGAAAGCTCTTCCCTCTTTGGTCCAGAAGCAGGGATGTCCTCCATGCTCTCCCTAACCCCAGAGGCCCTTTGCAATGCCTGTACTTCAGCCATTTCAGGCTGTGAGGCATGCTGAGCAGCGTAAGTTTTGTAGTTTGTGACTCATGGTTGCCACCACTGAGAGGTTTCTGTTCTTTTCTCCACCTTCAACCTCAGGTATTTAGGGTTAAACAGGCGTGACTTCCAGTGTATTGATATCCCAGTATTGCATTCCAGGGAACTGTTCTACCACCTCTTCAGGAAAAGGACTGCTTAATGACTACTGACCTCGGGTGCATTCTTTAATGTGGTAGTCAGGCTGCCTCTCTTACATTTCTTGCTTTTTGTGGCCACAGCGAGTTCGGGTTCATGCTTCTCAATCTGTTACGTGATATCTTTACCCTTCAAGAAAGAGTTGGGTATAGTCACCTCTTGCCTAAGTCTTCTGCTAGTTTCTCTTTATCATTGCTTTGGTAACTAGCTAATCCAAGGAGAAAGGAGAGGGCAAATTGCTCCGTCTCTAAGATTCTTGATTCTGTAGTAGCTAATAGCATGAGAAATTCCAATAGATTTGTGCATCTGGCTGAATGGCAAAGATTTTTGCTTGCTGTGTTTATCATTCCAGTTCCTCTCTGGTGCCTCAATACTAATTATTTTAGGATTCCTACTGGAGTTGAGGGAAGGTGGATTTTCTCTTAACGGAGCCAAGTTCTGTCTGGCTACCATTTTACCCACAGTTCAACTGATACCCAGGTTCTGTGACTGCATGTATTTTAAGGGCCCGATCAAAACATATTCTCCAGTCAAAGATTTTATTCCTTAATGGGATTTGAACCGTTGGTTACGAATTCTAATGGGTTGTTTGTTTAAACTTCCACCTTCCCTGTTCCCTTTCTTGTCTCCCCATTGAAGGTAGTTTTGCTGATGGCCACTTGTCTTTGCTGGGAGGATGATGAAAATTCTGACTGTTATGCTTGATCTTCCTCACGCTCTCTTTTTTTCAGGCTGGAGTGTCACAGTTCTGTTTTAGCTGGAGAAGACATTCCAATTTTCCCAAGTGCTCGTGCTGACTGTACTCCTCAGGCTGGATGTCAGGAAGCTGCTGACTGTCTTTGCAGATCCTGACCCTTTCAGAAGTTCAGCTCATGGTTTGACCAAAAAATACAGCATTTTTGAAGCTATAAGATCTGTCGTTATAATAGAGGTGTTCAGTGGCCACAGCTTGTGTGAAAGACGGGTCCTCTGGCAGCCGTTGAGGGAGACACAGCTTAGAGTCACTTGTGGTTCATGTACATAAGAACTAGTTCAATGAAATATTCTAACTGGAAATCTTTGACATACAGTCTCCACGTGCCTTCATCTTCAACCAGCTTTTCATGCCCTCCTCTGAGAGAGATATGGTCTTGTAGTTGAAATACCTAATAATAATAATAATTCAGCAGAAATAGAATCATAGGATATTTTAAGTTTTAAGTGGCTTAGGAGGTCTGTAGCCCAACCTCCTGCTTACAGCAGAGTCACCTGTGAGGTCAGAGCAGGTTGCCAGGGTTTGATCCTGCCAGGTCTTGAAAACCTTCAAGATTGAAGCTGCCTCTGCCTGACTATTCTCATGGGGAAAAGTTTCTCTTTATATCCAGGGTGACCCTTTCCTATTTCAGCGTTTGCCCGTTATCTTTCATTCTCCTGCTGTGCACTGATGTGAAGAGCTCGGCTGTGTCTTCTGGATAACCTCGTAGGCACTGGCACGTTGCTCCTGATCCTGAAGTCATCAACTTCAACTGATCAACTCATCAACTTCAACTCAAACTGATCAACTGGCACGTTGATCCTGAAGTCATCTCTGCTCCAGGCTGAAGAAGCTTGGCTCCCTCAGGCTCTCCTGCCAGGCCAAGTGCTTCAGCCCTCAGCTATCTCTATAGCCCTACGTTGAACTTGCTTCGGTTTATTAATATCTTTTTTGTTCTGGGGACCCAATACTGGGCCACATATTATAGGTGCAGTTTAGTAACTGAGTAAAGGGGGATAATCACTTCCCTTGGTCTACTGGCTCTGCTCCTGTTAATACAACAGGGATGATGTTGGCCCTATTTTGATGACAGAGCAAACTGCTGGCTCACATTCAGCTTGCTGTCCACCAAAAACTTGAGTTTATGGGGTCCTCAGCCTGTTTCACTGCAAATTCTTCCTTCCCAGCTGCAGAACTTTCCACTTGTCCTTAAATTTCATAAGGTTCCTCTTGCCCATTCCTCCAGCCTGTCTAAGCACTTCTGGATGTTTTAAGTCCTCTCTGCCCTCTGTGTACCACCTGGTTGTCTCCCCTAATTTGGTATCTCACAGACTTTCTGAGCAAGTCAGTTGAACAGGTTTCAGAAGAGATTCCTGCAGTATTCCATTTTTATTGGCCTGCAGTAATAAATGTCCCATTAACCATTTCCCTCTGAGATTGATTGTCCAACCAGCTGTTTAATTTATCTAGTTGTCCAAGCATTGGACCTTAATGTTCTAACTTTGATACAAGAATATTGTGGGAGATGTGTCAAATGTCATCTTAACATCAAGATAAATGCCATTTACTGGTTTCTCCTTGTTCACAAATCCTGTGATTTTTGTCACAGATGGTAATCACATTGGTCAGACATCATTTACCATTGGTAGGAACATACCGACTGTTCCCAGTCACTTGTTTTCTTCTTCCTGTGCCCAGAAACGTGTTCCAAGGGGACTCCATGATTTTCCCAGGAACTGAAGAGAGGTTGATCAGGCTGTAGTTTCTTGGGCTGTTTTTTGGCCTTTTTTGAGGCTGGGTGCAGCGTTGGCCTTCCTCCAGTCACTTGGCAGTCTCCACAATCTGCCTTGCAAGGACATCAGTCATTTATCTCATATTCTACAATGCAATTTGTTTGGTTCCATGGAATTGCAGGGGTAAAGTTCTTGCAAATAATCCCCGACTGAATCCTCATACACTCTGCCGCTGAGCACAGAGGCCTGAGAGATCTTGTTGGTGAATACTGAGGCAAAGAAAGAAATGAGTAACTGCTTTCTCTGGGCCTGCTACCACTAAGTCAGCCATTTATTTCAGTCATGGGCCAACATTTGCCTTGTTCAGCCTTTTATTACAAAGGAAGCAGTAGCAGTGCTTTTTTTTGCTCTTGATGCCCCTTGCAAGTCTCAACTGGAGTCGAGTTTTGGCTTTCCCAGCAGCATCTCTGCATGCCCAGACAGTGATTTTAAATTTCTCCGTTGTAGCCTGTCCCTGCCTCCACCTTCTGTATTCTGTCTTTTTGCGCTGGAGTTTAGCCAAGCCAATCTTGGCCTCCATGGCCTTGGGCCTTGCCTCAAAAACCGTATCACTCTTGATGTACTGTAAGTCAATATATAAATAATAACAGAAATGCTTCCACTTAATCTGATATGTACCAAGCAGGTGGATAGGAGACGTAGGAGCAACTCTTTCTGTGGGCAAAGAGAAGCTTTCTGGTCTCAAGTAACAAATCACAAATATACCTTATTATGTACTGCACCCCTTAATAGTATTGACTGCTGGTGTTTTGCATGTATGGCTTTTGCAATGAAGACATGTTGTAAATATTTTTCCATGAACTTTCATGGAAAAGCTGTAGACTTTTCCTTGAAAACATTTAGTAATCTTAAGCATAAGAGCCCATTTCCTGTCCCTGCAGCCGCACATTCCTGCAGAGGGCAGAGATCCTGTCAGAAAAATGGCATATGTGTGGTTATATATTTAAAGGCTGCGCAGGGGAAGGTAAACTCGTGTTTGCAAAAGATTTTCCTAGTTTTAAGGTCTCTGACTTCATAGTTTAATAGTGTTTGTTAACATCAATTTGCATGAGTAGGAATGTGTGTGAACAATTAATACTGAAAGCATTTCTGGTTTCTTTTTGTCTCTAATTTAAGACATTGCTTAAGCACAGACAGTGCTACTTGAAGTAGGAATTTGTTTTCTTCTCTAATGCTTCGCTTCCATTCTTAGGCATTTCAAATTACTGTGAAAGATACCGTGAAGGTATGAAACTTGTTCTGAACACGTTTGGACCAGTACCGGAGTATTCAGGTGAAGTTGAGAAGAAAGTCCATCAGGTAAATATACAGTGCATGAATACAACGATATCCAGAACCATTCAATTTACTGTTAGAGGCATCTGTGATCAGTATTTATTATGTGAATGTGTACTTCGAGTGAAAAGATCCGTAGAAAGTGTTTATAGTAGTATGTACATTTTTAAAGCTCTTTGAAATACATTGAGAGAATGTGGTACAGGACATGAGTAGCATTATTATCAGCCAGAGAAGTGGGCTGCTAACAACTACAGGGTACTGACATTAAATCCTCAACTTCTACTGGTTTTATCCTATATCTTATCCTCTGCCACAATAGGCACAGCTACAAGTTTCCTTTCCTACATTAAGACTTTTCTCCCCATGTTCTCTTTCTCATTCTTATTGCATAAGCCCCATAACCTTTTTCTTCAGGATGGGCTAGCTGGCCAAGTAGGTTTATTTATGGATAATATGATGTGCTGTCTTTAAACGATCTGTATTTTGTGCTGTTGATGAACTGTGGTAGCTAATATAGTTGCATCTTCTGTTTTCAAAGGTCAGTTAGAAGTTATATCCCAATGATATGTTCATTTCCTGTGTCTTTTTTTCCTCCAGTGCTGCTTCTGAATAGAGCATAGAGCTCAGACTGTTGGGCTGTTCATACATCATGCATAGATTTTTAAAGTATTTTGTTCCTATTCTTGTTTTTCTATCCTTACAAACTAAACTCCTAGTCCGTTCAGCATGCAAGGAGATGCTTAACATTTATCATGCAAGAAGTCCAGTAAGATTACTGGCATGCTTAAAATCAAGACGTGTTTTAAATGCAGTGCTGGATTGGGACCCAGTTTTCTAATGTTTTTTTCTGAGCCCACACTTAGTTTGTAGTAATAATATAGGCTTTTGAGGGCATCTTTAGGAATTACCTAAAGTATTTCCATTTCCTAATAGTTGACTTTTTTTTTAGGCTTTGCTGAGGACTACGTGCATATATCAAATTGTTCCTGATTAGCTGTTACAGAACGATTCTATGTATGGATGCACTCACACATGAATTAGGTTTAGAGCACATGTTTAGCCACATAAGAGGCCATGTCACCTCCTTGCCGCTTTATAAAATGTTACTGTCTAAATGGTAGAGAGATGTGTCCGTGAGGGGCCGTCCAAGAGGAGGCTGATGCTTTGATGTTTCGTGAGGATTTTCATTGCTACATTCAGGCCAACCTTCAACTGAGAAGTTTCTTCAGCTGGAAAACAGTCTTGATAAGAAACTTCCTATTCAGAACAAGAGTTTTAATCACCTTTAAATTCTTCTGTTTCAGGCAATGTCAGAAAAAATTCCAGTGGTTCCAAAACACCTGGATAGCAGGAGAGAATGGAGAGATGAATGTCTTGCTCGTCTTGCCAAATTGAAAATACAGATGAAATCTGATTGAGGTGCACCCTGTCTAACAGGAAAGACCAAACGAAGAACAAGCCTTCATAAGCAGCAGGGATTTTTGGTGAGGCAGAAGAGGTGCAGGCGATGATAAGCACAAATGTAGAGACCAATGAAACATTTGGTCCAAATTTGTCATGATGTAATTCATGAATAACTGGAAAAATTATAAAAAAGTTCAGCTAAAACTTTATCAAATTATTATATATGTGCATTATATATGTGAGCATTTAGTAGCTTTAGCTATATTAATAATGTGCAATACTGGAACTCAATCAGGTTTTAAATAAGGTGTTTTTAAACTTGTTTAGAAATTCAGAGCTTGAACAATATTTGCTTATGCAGGGATCTGATAGGCAAACATCAGCTGTTTGTCACTGGAGTTAAAAAGCCCTCACCAGCCACACAATGTGGCAGTGGAGTTAATTTGTAACACATGGACTATAGATAGGAGGATATTGTGTTGAACAAAGAGCAGATTCACTGACCATTCTCCCAGTTAAGTGAGAGCTCTGCAGCAATAAGGGTCACTTCAACTTTGCCCTGTAACTGTTTCACAATGTAGAGGAAAGAATTCCTTTCCTTCCCTATGGCACTTATGTACCTATGTGATGAGTTAAATGTGAGTGACTAGAACAGAGCAGACTTCCTTATCCCCTACCCCGATTCTGAAAAACTCATCACAGACCTACTCAGTTTTTCAGACATGCACTTGATATCCCATGACTTCATCCTGACTTAAGTCAGATGTTTGATGCCATTGATAGGCATCGCTGCATGAATGTGTGTCCCACTCTATAAGTTTTCTATGACAAATGAGATGTTTTGATATATCAGCTTGGGAGACACCTTCCAAGCTACATGATGAGCTCCTGGGTGATCCTGGGAAGCCCATTCACCACTCTGTTGCCTTGTCTGTTTTGTACATTGTCTGGATCAAGGGCTGTCTCTGTAATTCAGCTGTGGTGAAATTAACACTTGTGGCTGAAGGAATCTCTCTTACCTGCTGCTTTGCTTCCCCATGCAGGGAAATGTCCAGCATTTATGCTTTACTGCTGCCCCTTTCTACATGAGTCACAAGGCCTGTAGAAGAACAGAGTTTCTACATGGCAATAGTAGTATCTCTGGTTGCTGCAGTGGCTTCAGACTACAGCAGACAAAGTTTTACTACGAGTGTATGTGCTATATAATATAGCTGAACCTTGATTTAAGCTAGAACCTTTGGGCATTGTTGTAATACAAACAATAACTTGGCATCACAACATTGCATCCCTGTCACCTGAATTAAGCATACTTGAATTCGTACTAGCTGGTCATGTATCTTCAGCCACAGCACAGATTCAGAATTGTTAAACTGACTTCTTAACGTTTGGCTCAGGAACATTTTAACTCCTGTTCTTAATGCAGACTGCAGGTGCATAAACAAGTTACTGCACGTTAATTAGTTACCATGCTGTGAGCCCAGCAGCAGATAAACTGTGTGCTCGGATGTAGATGGGGCAAAAATGCATCTCTGTATGTAAAACGTGGGATAGGATGCACAGTGCAGAGGTCTACACCTGAACAGATGGTCCTATGCCCCTTTTGTAATGAGCGGAAAAAGAAAAGTGTGTAAACTCGATTTATTTTATCCCAATGTTGACCTAAAATGGTCAGGTGAATCATCACACCCTGAAAACACCACTATTCCATTGCCTGGAGTGGGAACAACAGTGACTGGCTCTGCCTGCCCTGGGACACCTGAAGCTGGGGAGGTCACTTCCCATTCTTGGTGCAGCAATTTAATTATGAGGCTGATTTCTTCTTTTTAGGTATGTCTTTGTATTTTTGACAATTTCATAAAAGGTTCTGATTATTTTTAAGATTAGAACTGTTTTGCTGTGGGCATATGGCATTGTCATAACTGATTATCTTGCATTGCTTCTGTTTATTTTGAGGTATTTTAAAATGTAATCACATCATTCAATATTTGTCTCTGTTTTTATTATTTACTTATGAATAAAAAAAAACTGTTATGAGAATGGTGTTAACTTCTTTTGTGGTCCTGTGTGACACTGTAGTGGCAGCACTACATATACCTCTTAAGAAACAAATGCCTTGGAAGAATAAGTTGCAGAAGTCTAGGGGAGTAAATAGACAAGAAATAGTGTGCATTCCCATATAGTTTGTACATGGGCGACAAGTGGGATGAAGAACTTGGCAGATAGTACATTCTAGATGACATTTACGTAGTATTTGAATAATACAAAACTACTATTAGCAGTAGTAGTTGCAACTAGCAAACTGGTCACAAATACAGTTAGAAAACACTGCAAAGTGTTAGCAGAAGGAACGGGATGAGCTCCACGTTGCTCTGCTGCTCTTCGACGACCCGTGTTCTGCTCGCGGCAGCAGTTACCAGCAGCCATTAGACAACAGACGCCAAAGGGAGCCGAGCCTGCTGCGAGCTGGAGACCTCCTGTGGTCCCTTCAACCTGGATTATCCGACAGCACCAACTTTCATTTGAGTTGGCCTACTTTGTAGAAAAATTCCCCCAACTTTGGTAAATTAATTCCAATTAATTTATATAGATTTGTTTGAATTGTCACCTGTGTTGAAGATATTTTCCCTCCCTCTGCACTCTCTCCTCCCCATTCTTTTCTCTTTCCCCTGTTTTCTCTCCCTTTTCACTTTTTCCACTGCTTCTCTCTGTAGCCTCAGCTTCTCACACTAGTCTGTCACTAACTACTTCCATGGTATTTAGCAGGTTAATTTGCCCCGGTTCTGCTAATTGAGTGCTGAAGAATCCCTTCTGGGGAGCAGCTTGTTAGAGCTGAGCTGCTGTAAGATACAAATCCCAATCCTGTTAAATTAAGTGGTTTGATTATTTTCTTCAAATTCATATTACTCCTTTTACCCCCTTTTTCACTCAAATACAATAGATGTCTTGTGATAGATTGCACCTGATGGTCTTTTCCAATTAACAGCAGCAGTCCTGTAAAATTGCAGAATTATACCAGCTACAGTCAAACATTTATATTGCTTGATTATTAGTAGAAGAAGCAAGGTGAGTGTTCAAGTAACTATCTTGTAATAAGCTATGAGGGTTGAGATTTTTTGAAAAATTTATCTTGTGCCTTTTTAATGAAATTTCATATATTTTAATTCTGTATTATTTTTTATCTGGGTTATAGCTATAGACCTTGTAGTTTGTTTTTCTCTGTTTTACTGATTTTTATATTTATTGCTTTCTTTATTATGTATATTTTGCTGTTAGTTACTGTTTCTAAATAGAAGGAAAGTACTATATGTTCATATCAAAGACTTTGATTTAATGTTAGAAAACTAAAACACTTATTTTGTTCAATATAAGGCAGAAAGAAAAGATGTAGGAAAGCACTTCAAGAAACACCTATATGCCTGTTTCCTAGGTTTTAGGAGTAGGGGAAGTAGTTGAAGTATCTTGCAAAGCAGGAGTGTGAGCTTACTTTCCTGGTTTGTAGTTCTTTGTCTGCTGAGTCATCGTAATAGTTTGAAGTTAAAATGGGAGTATTTTGTGGTTGCCGTATTACCTACTTGGAATGTTTTTAGGAAATGGTATTACTCTCTCTGCACTGTCTTTTAAGCTTAAACTAATTTGTAATGATTGCTATAAAACAAAACAGAAAAAAACATTTTTGGTTCAACTGCTGTGAATATAACTTTCAGCTTTCAGAGGAAGCTGTGATCTGCCACAAGCGCGTAGGACATGAGGAGGTTCAGGCTAGACGTTAAGAAGAATTTCTACACAGAAAGAGTGCACGGAAAGCATTGGAACAGGCTGCCCAGGGAAGCAGTGGAGTTGCTGTCCTTGGCAGTGCTCAAGAAACGTGTAGAGGAGGCACTTGGCGATGTGGTTTAACAGGCAGGGTGGGGATGGGCTTACGGTTGGATTCAATGATCTTGAAGGTCTTTTCCAACTATAATGATTCTGTGATTCTAAGACAGGAGCCAGGTGGATTTAAACCTAGAAATTGTCTTCAGTGACAGAAGGAAAAGCAAAAGACCTCTTGCTTTCAGCAGCCTAGCAGGGCCCAAGAGAGTATTTCATAAGTTAGTTCAGGTTTAGTTAGGCTAGCCAAATGCGAACACCTCTGTTTGCTCTAGCTGCCCACTCGTCTCGCGTTTCCCCAAGATGCAGCTCACGGACAGGGTTGCAGCAGCTCCCCTGGCCGCGTGTGCTGGAGGTTTGAACTACGTGTGTGTGTGTGTGTGTGTGTGTGTGTGTGTGTGTGTGCACGCACCCACCTGGACACACTACTGCAGGTTGGTTAAAGCGAGTGGAAGACCTTGGCGGGGAAAGGAAAACTGACCTCGGGGCGGTGCGTGTTTGGCTTGGTAAGGCTTCGTATCAAGCTAATGGCTAAAGATTTATTTCTATTTTCCTCAGGTATTTAAAGAAAAAACAGAAGGGAATACCTCCTGTCAGTGTGTTATTTGCATTTATATATATATTTTGTGGCGACATAACCTGATAGTATGGCACTTAGAGTTACCAGCTGACTGACACTTCCTACATCTTGGGCTTTTTTTTTTTTTTTTTCCTCTGGTAGAACTTTATTTTACCCTCTTTTTTTCCTTCTATTGTATAGGTTTAATTTGGAGAAGTCACCTGACAATCTAATACAATCAAATATTAATAGCCAGGGCTATTCAGACTTCTCTTATCTTTTATAAACTAGAGGCCAAAAAAGAACTAACATTTAAATAGCAAATACTGTTGTACCAACAGTTTCATAAGACTTGGAGAATAGGTGCTAGTGCCCTACCTTGGAGCTTATTTCAGACAAAACAGAGCAGCCTTGGCTGTTTGACCCCAGAATTTGCTGTGAAGCTCCGGTTTGCTCCTGCCCACACGCTGTTGTGAAATGCTCTGGGGCTGCTTTGGGCTGGCTCCAAATGGAAGGTGGCTGCAAGTGAAGCTGTGGCCACGTGCAGCGGCGTTACAGGGTTTTGTGTACAGCTCATGC